TAGGGCGAAATATATTTCGCCCAAAAGCCTGAAATCCGATAATTCCGAAACTGGCGAAATTGGCGAAATGTCCGAAACCGGGCGAAATGTCCGAAATGTCCGAAAATGGGCGAAACCGAAACCTGGCGAAAGTTCCAAGATCTAATATTAGAATCTTTATTAGAAAAAATACTTAGAATGTAGTGAAACTGAGTGTTGAGATATCTTCACTCAAAGATTTAAAAAACCCAAACCGTCTATCATTACCAAACTGTTGTTAACCTTTGAGCGAAGATATTTAGACACCCACCAAGCCAAATTCAATGCACTTTTTTTTATTTAAATTCTATTGAATTTGGCTTGGTGGGTGTCGTGATATCTTCACTTAAAGATTCAAAGATTCAAAACGTCTATCAAAAAGAGCCGCACCAAACTTTTTTTTAAACTTTGTGAAGATATCACGCACCCACCAAGCCAAATTCGATGAACTTTTTTTTTATTTGGATTCTACAAATTCGTAGAATTCAAATAAAAAAAGTTTGTCAAATTTGACTTGGTGAATGTCGAGATAACTTTACTCAAAGATTTAAAAAATTCAAACCGTCTATCAAAAAGATTTAACCATGGCTGCCGCAATAAAATTGTCACGGCAGATTCTTAATTTTGATTGGCTAAGAGCGACGATACTAATGAAATCGCAGCCGCCCATTAAGTGAAAATTGTTCCTGGGCCTATTTTAAAAAATTTCTATTTTGTAAAGAAAAATTAAAAAGTTAATTCCGGCCGGAAATTAGTAACAATTATGTAATGTGGGCCAGAATTTCGAAGATCCTCGGCCATTAGCCAATCAAATTCGAGGATCTGCCGTGATGGTTAATATCAAGAGCTGCGGCAAACATTTTTTTAAACTTTGTGTGAAGATATCACGACACCCACCAAGACAAATTCGAAGAACTTTTTTTTTTTTGAATTCTGCAGATTCGTAGAATTTAAATAAAAAAAGTTTATCAAATTTGACTTGGTGAGTGTCGAGATAACTTTACTCAAAGATTTAAAAAATTCAAAACGTCTATTAAAAAGAAGAGCTGCACCAAACTTTTTTATCGAAAATGTTTCGGTGAATTTCGCCATTCCGGTTTCGCCAGGTTTCGGAGGTTTCGCCAGGTTTCGGAAAGTTCGCCCATTTCGGATTTATTTCGCCTTTGGGAGAATTTCGGTTTCACCTTTCGGATTTTGGACTAGGTTATCATAGTAAAATCTTGAGTTATTTACGATTTTTCTGTTTTCACGGAAAATCGTAAATAACTCAAGATTTTACTATGATAACCGTAGTTTGACTTCTAAGCAAAAGTTTAAATATCGAATATAAAGTAAATTAAATATGCACTTAATGCTCTTTCGATTCGGTGATCGACATGCCTATAGTGTGGCATAGCATGAATTAGCATGCCAAATTTTTTTGCCATGCCACCCACCCTAGCTGTAACATATGGGGGTGGTTGCTTGGTTTCTATTGAACCCCCCATATGTATATAAATTTTAGCTATTGTTAGCTGTCGTTTTTTAACGAAATATTTAGTTTATTATAATGTCAACTTTTGATTTTACAGCTGATAACAAAAAAAAAAAAAGACATTTTTATTTATAAATTAACGGAGCATGATTAAAAATCCATCTGATTGGCTGTCGATCATCATAGTAATACCAGCATAGCGGGCTTTCGTTGTAATTGGTTAATTTTTTGTAGATCATCGTGTGATCTTCGTAAAATTTTATTGGTTTGGAAAATTAGATTTTGTATAACGATATTTCTTATTAATTTTAATTGAAATTCGATACCAGCTAGTATACCGGTTAGAAAAATTAGAAAAAGCGGCAAAAATGTCTATACAAGAAAATTACAGTGAAACTACAAATAAGGGAAAAAGAAAGGCTCAATATTGTAATTTGGAGGGTCATGACGATGTTATTTGTAATTATGATCAGTACGGCACCTCAATTGTAACAGATCAGTTAACCGTACCAAGCTCAAGCCAACACTTGGATCTAGTTGGCAAAGCTTTATGCCGAAAACACTATAATAAGTATATTGCAAATGCAAAAAAAAAAAAGACCCAACTAACTACTACATGCACTCATCCCAAACATAGTACCTATTTAGCTACGGCTCGAAAAGGTGAAACGACGAAATTTAGAAAGACTCCAGAACGGTTAACTAGATTTTTTCAACTACCAAAAGGGGCAAAGATGTGCCATTATTGCTTATATAAAACAGATATAGATCCAGAGTATATTAATTTGCCAGATTATTTACTAGCAAAAGAAAAATTTTTAAAAATTCCAAAAGAAAGCATGAGGCACTTTCAAGGTAGGTCATATGTTCTGGGTGGTGATGTTATTTACTCCAAATCTGAATTTCAGAAATTGGAGTCTGCATATTATGAAGTGTGTAGAGAACTTGATGAAGCGAAATTAGGTAATAGTTTTTTATTTGTTACTTTTTTTTTTTTTTTTTTAAATTATTATTTAGAGCTAATTCCTTTGAGTAAGAAGATTAAGCTCATGGCAGGGGTGTTGTACACAAGACAACTTGTGTATAACGAGAAGCCAATTTTTAATCTGGATGAGTTTAAAAAAATACTTGAGAAAAGTGAACCATTACTAAAAGGCTTCTTTGATCAATTAGTTGTCAGAACTAATCCACAAGCTAAGAGCCACATGACTAACGAAAAAAATAAAAAAAGATTGGTTTTTTTTGCTATTTTCTTGCAGGACTTAACAACAAATTTATTAATGGTGTTAAGGCAGAGGTCAGATTTTTGTTAGATGCATCTGGGGCGGCTTCGTCAGCAATTGAGACTTTGGCTAGTGCGGGTTTAATGGTAAGATGTGAAACCATTGCAAGAAAGAAGGCTTAGCATATAGAAGTGTATATGGATACTGTGGGTGGTTTTTTAGTAAAGAATATAAGATATATAAATTTTTTTTTAATTTAATTTAATTTAAAAATAATATTAATAATTGGCTTCACATATAATATTTTAACAGAATAAAAATTTGATCGTTCTTAACGTAGATAATTTTCACAATATCCACGAATATCGTCATAGTAATACAACAACTATGCATGATATCAGCCATTTTGTTACGATACTCTTAAAGGCATTGCCCGAAATGGCTTCAGTTCCATATAAAAATCCAAATCAAGAAAAGAGTATTCATAACAAAAAGGGTATTGATTCAGATATAATTGTAGAGAATACACACTTACTTTTTTTTCTTCTTTATGGCTTAGTTATATAGGGCGAAAGGGTGTGTTTGCTAATTTGGAGTCTTCACAAGAAACCTACGATGAAAGAGTTAAGCGTCTTTTAGTTTACAACTATGACGATAGAATTGAGCAATGCCGGGTAGATAGAAGCATGATAGATACAAAATTGGTCGATTTAAAAGAAGGGTCTCTTCATACAACTGTAGAATATGTGGATGCTCTTAGAGTCTTAATAGATATTCCTGAAGCAGAGACTTATATGAAGACACAGGTGCTAATAGCACTTATGAATTATCCAGGACAACTTAATGTACGTCGCGCTGTAACCTGTCACATCAAGTTTGGAAATTCTTTTGGAATACCGGAGCAAATTCTGCATGTTGTTCCAATGATTGGACCCTTGTATGTATCCTTAAATAGCTATGAGACAGTGTTTCTTTTAAATTATTGGTTTTTTTATTTGCTTTTTTATAGGATCTTTGGAAATAACAAGGTATTGGCACAAAAACCAAAACCTTATAAAATTAATATACTTTTAGAACTAGCATATCAAGGCTGGTCTAAAATTCGTTCAATAGTTATAAAAAATTTAAACGTTCCAAAGATCCTGAACCTAGATATCTTATTAATTTGTTGGATAATATTGTTCTATTAGTTTTAGATTTTTACCCTATAA